TTGAGTGATGTTCACACTGAAGGGTAGCAAATTTTCATTTACTTCAAATTAATGGCAATAATTGAAATAGAAACTGTTTTGGAAAATGTGATAAAGCAGAAGAGAGATTGTTAATTTCGTTGCCACAATGACTTCTAGTTCCTAGGCCCAGCTTTTTATTTGATGATATACAACATATCATGAATTTTTATTAAAGAATATATTCATTATTTATGCCATTTAAATATATGCTGCCTTCTCAAATGTGGAATCATCTTTGAGGCATGCAATTGAGAGTGTGTTAAAGGGGGACCTCCCCCGTGGCGCAGCGGTTGAGCAATGGGTTGTGAAGCTGTCCGCAGCCTCCACAGCGCTGGTTCGATCCCCGGCCGCAGGGCAAGGGTCCCACATGGCGCGCAGACCTCTCCTGGCGCCCGCTGCTCCCCTCAGCATTGTACGTCGTCAGTCTGCCTGTTCTTCTCTCTGCTCTGGCTCTGGTGAATTCTCTCACCCTCCCGTGTTTCTGACTGTACCCAGTGCTTGTATAAATAAATAAATAAATCTTTAAAAAAAAAAAATCTGTCCCCCCCAAAAAAAAAGATTGTGTTAAAGGGGCTTCCCTGGTGGCGCAGAGGTTAAAAAGGCCACGCGCTATCAAACTTTCTCCAGCCACTAAGGCACCAGTTCGATCCCCAGCCAGGGAGGTGACCCACATGGCGCAGCAGACCTCTCCTGCCTTACCCGCTGCTCCCCTCAGCAGTGTATTTCAGTCAGTCTGCCTGTTCTGCTCCCCAATCTCTCTGGTTAATTCTCTCACCCCCCACACCTCTGGCTTATGCCCCAGTTCTTGTATGCATAAATAAATAAATCTTTTTAAAAAAGATTTTGTTTAAATTTTGTTAAGAAAGTTGAACTTTTCAGTACATGCATACAAAGCTTTTTAGTCTTTCTCACCACTACTGAGTCTTCTAGCTCAATTACTCTATGAAAAATAGTATTTTTAAAGAACAGTGATTATTCTTGCTGGTCAGTTTCACATTATAATTATGGAAAAGTCAAGTAGTCACCTACAGTGATTAATGATCTCTCTCTCTAGAGTGTGTGGAATTAACATTTTAGAATTTTAGCTTAGCTTTCATATGCCTAACCATCAAACATTGAAGTCTTTAGCCATCAGAATAATAAATTGTTGTCACAGCAGCTCAAACAAATAAATTTAGAAACCTAGCAAGATCTAGACCTAAGAAAAGAGAAGGAGTAGAATTTAAGATCTGTGAAATAACATGGGGATTTTCTGTATAGAAATGTTTTTTTTTTAATTATTTTTAAGATTGAGGTTGTTCTATATATCGGTTGTTCATGACATATCCAAGGTTACCCAGCTAACTAGTGGCAGAGCTGGGATTAAACTTTCCTGCCAATTCAGTGTTTGTATCTCTCCTTTCTGGGTCATTAATAGTGGGTTGTCTTGTAAAGTTGCATACAGCTGTGCTATTTGTAAACTGCATTTAACTAGATATATAGGAAAAATAAAATACCTTCTATGAGGACTTCTTATAATTGACCATGGACTTTGACATCTTTCTGGAAAAAAAAATAGCATAAATTCCAGTGAACCAGTTTTACTTCCTTTGGCATGGTCTCTAGACTTGGAAGGTAAGGGACTATCCTGCTGTAAGATATTCCGTTGTGTAGCTGGAACCAAAATTTGCTTCCCCTTGTTTTTACTGGTGCTCTTAAGTCTTTACCCACTTCAGATCACTTAAGTTAGACTTGCCTTTTTACAGTATCCTCTGCTGATTTGTTTGTACATGAATGTTTAGAAGATGCTGGGTCTGTTAAGTCCTGATGGGTGCTAGGCAAAAGGTTGGGTTCCTAATATGTGTTACGTCCCCTTTTCCTCATCTTATGCTATCATTCCTCTCTTAAGATGTAAACTTTTTTTTTTTGCTTCTATGCCTTTATTATTTATTTTTAATTATATATATTTTTACATAATTTTTCATTTTTGTATAATGTATGCATTTTCATCTTGGTTATAGTTCCCATACAATTCCCATCACCCATGAACTATCACCGTGGTCCCTTGTGCTCTTCCCACCCTTATTTTAATCCTTCTCCCTTCTCTGATGTAAACATTTTTTTAAAAAGATTTTACTATGAAAAATTAAAATACAGTTCTAGAAATAAGAGTAAAATAAATTCCCCAATACCCTTTATTCACCCCTTCAACAGTGTTTGTGTTTCATGATTATAATGAAGCAAATTCCAGTCATCACATACTTTCATCCATGAATAATTTGGTGTGTACAACAAAACGAGTCTCTTTTTTGACATGACCATGATGTCATTACTACTAAAAAAAATGTATTTTTTTTGTAATAACCTCAAACATCCAGGCAGTGTTCATATTTCTTCTAAATGTCTGGTGATTGTATGTTTTTTCCTAGTATCTCATTTATGGTTTCTTTGTTTTCATTGTACTGTAGGGAAAATAATTTTCTTTCTGCTCTTCTCTTTCCTTCACTCTTCTGAGTTTTCAGCTCAGGCCCCTGTAATAAAAGGGAAAAACAAATGGAAGTTTATTAACATCTACAGTTCATGTACACACGGGAAATGCTGAGGGAAAAAATGAGTAACTTCTTGAAGTGGCTTAGAATTTAGGCTTAGTACCATCTTTACAGGGAAAGGGGAGTGGCATGTTGGCCTCTTAGAGGAGAGTCATTGAGTCCAGGAAAGATGAATGACCCTTACAAATGGGGACAGTTTGTGACAACTTTGTCGAGCTGTTGTGTTGACTTCTAGTTTAATCTCCTGTGATAATAAAGGCTAATTATAGTAAAGTAAAAATCAAAATCAGCAAGGAACTATAAACCAGAGACACACTATGGGGGTGAGGGGAAGGGAGCAGACTCAAAACAAGGGGGGGTGGGAATTGTGTGGGGACTATAACCAAGATGAAAATGCATACATTGTGCAAAAATGAAAAATGATGTAAAAATATATAAAATAAAAAAATAAACTTACAGAATTAAAGAAAAAAAATCAATTTTCCTTGAGCCGAAACTCTCAGAAAAGGGATTTGCAATAATTAAGTTCCTTTTGGAGTTTCTGTCTGTAACAAAATACGGTTTGCAGAGAAAGTTTCTCCCTGCATTTGATGGTTTTTGAGCTCAAAAAAGCAATATACCAAAGTAGGATATTTTGCAGTGTCATACTCTGCTATCCTTCAGAATCAAAGTATAAATAAGGTCCATTCATTGTGGTTTTATTACATGTCTTTAAAGACTCTCCCTCTCTCCCCCAACTGTTCATTTAACCTCTGTACTCCTAAAATTAAGCTATTGTTTATCCCATTTGTACAGAGGCATAAATGAACTCAGAGATTTAGTAATCTAAATGTGGATTTAGGTGGATGAAGGTGGACCTGGCAAGCTTTTATTAGAAGCTCGAGCCAAAGCTTGTGGTGTGATTCCAAGAGAGGAGCCAGGAGGAGAAATTTATATGGTCAGGTCCAAGTGGGTGGGTAAGGAGGGCAGTGTCTTGGTTTATTTTGATTTGGGCTGTGCCCAGGCATGTGCAGGCTGGTTGCATTTGCACTGCACATGCATGTTTCTTGGCTTTCCCTTTTTGGAAACTGTAAGGCAATTACTATTCAGGATTCACACTTTCTGTCTAGCTTGGCATGGGTTTGGTCAGTCTGGTGGGACAAAATGTGTGAACAAGATCAAAAACATAGAACTTCTAGTCCTCAGTTTAGTCCACCTGTTTAAACAGGATGCTGAGATCCAGTTTCATAGCTTACATAAGATGCTGGGGCAGTTTGCTTCTTACTGGCTTGAAATTGTACCCAAATTGTCTCCTTAGTAGCTAGTAAGTGGCTGTGCCAGAATTCAAACCAGCTTGTCTACCTCTGCTGATCTTTCCCTATGTCATGTTGCTGCCGCTACTTTAATTTTGACTCTCTCTGTTTAATTGTTTGTGCTACTAGCCTAATTATTCCAAAAGATTTTCAGTTCCTCTTTCTTTACTTTGAAAGCCTACACTTTAAAATATACACTGTTCCAAAAATGATGGCACTGCCATCAAACAATAAATAATAGAATGAGGGAAAATATTTTTGTTTGCATGGTCCTTTTTTTACTTTAAGCTAGCAGTCTAGCAAGTGTAATTGTAGTGATAGCGATCAACTGTTGTCATTGCCATCTGGAAACTTCTTTCTTACTCCATCTTCATCTTCTGGTTGCTTGCAAAGCTTCCACTGCAAAGTGATAGATGTGTATTTAAGTCTTCACCCATTTTGGGTCTATGTTGCTGAGACTTGCACACTGCATTGGTATCTTTATAGTGTGGTTAGGGGAGGTAGAACCCACTTCCTGAGGACCAGAGCTGAGTGGCCAGGTGAATGTATATAACATGGAAAGAGGGTGGACTCAGGGAGAGAGACATGAGGAAGGGTGTACTTGCTTCTTGGCTTCAGACTAACAGCAGGGATTTGGGGGACTTTTGAGGCTTGAAGGAGACACATGGAGGATAGATATGCAAAGACCCTTGGATGAGGGACCTATGGGAGAGGCTGACAATGACAGCCATTATCATGATTTGTACAATAATTTTGCCTTGTCCCAGACTTACCTGGCCCCTTCTGCCCCTTTTTTGTGGTTCCCCACTAGAAGTTGCCTTCAACTTGAGGCAAGCTTTTGGGCCTCATTCGCCCCACTTCAGGCCAACCCTGTGTGGTTGGGGATTTACCTGCAAGGTGATGGGTAACTTTGGGTGTTCTATTGGGAAACTTATCCTTTCTTCTCTCTCTATGCGTATTAGCCTATCAAAGTTCTTTCATATTATCCCTTGTCTTTATGGGCATAGATGGTTGCACCCCTTTAGAGTATACAAGATTGGGGATCCCAGGATACCACGTGGCCACACACTAATAGTATACAGATTTTTCTAGTAACAGATTTATCAGAATTGTTTTCTGATGTTGTATAATCTAATACTATTATGTGGTTGTATTTTAGATTGGAGAATTAATATATATCCTAGAAGGAAGTGGCACTATGCCCTTGCCTTCCAGCTTCCTGCCAATGGATTCTTTGACTCCAATTGATTACCACCGTTCTCCTGAAGAAGGTAGAGTATATATCTATATATCTATATGCTTTATTTCATTTATAATGTTGAAGGACCGCTCTGTTCCTCATATTGTCACTTAAGAATCTTCATAGCAATTATATAATCAGAGTTTTGAAGGCTCCTTTTTAACTTTATTATGTCAGCATACATGGAATAGAGTGCCATTTTAGCAATTAAGAAAATTTCGATTTAAAATAATATCTTTTTTTTTTTCAATCTTTGGATAAATACTGAAACTTGGCATACAGAATATTTACTCAACACAACTTTCCATTTCATATTCTATAAATCTCAAATTCTATATATTGTATTATAACCTGAACTTCTACCCTATATTCTAGTTTAACGTATAAGCTTGTAAATGACAGAAAATTGAAGTTCTTTCCATTTCTTGACAGATATCTGTCTTGACATTTATTTCTATTCCTCTACCATATGATAGGAACACAATGGTCAGTGAACTATTGAGCATTTCATATTTCTATGAAAGTGCCATTTGAATAGAATTCATTTTGGAGAATGCCAGTAGAGTATCTTTTTTTCCTGAAGACTTATTCGTGAGTCACTGAATTAAGACTACAAGAAATATTTATATTTTGCTATGGTTAAAGTAAGCCCATAACTGCAGCTTTATATTTCAGTTCAGTAGATAACAATGTCAAGGGCATAAATGATCATTGCACTCGTGAATATTTTTGCTTTTCCTAGGGTTAAATAAGACAGATCCAGTTCTGTATTTGCAGTGTGAACTCGGTCAAGTCCTGGATGTGAAACTTAATTTGCCACTGACAAATGAAGCCAAAGAAAAGGCTTTGGCTTTTGCAGCACAGCAACAGATGTCAAGGGTAGAGTATGAACGAAGATCGATCACAGGCACCCTGGACAGCAGTAGTGTCCGTGTGGCTATCGCCCTCCTGGGACTGACCAAGATTGAGGTGGGCATGAGGGACAGGTCATGTACTTACATTATTCTCTCTTTAGAAATATGCAGAGCTGTTTCTACTTAATCATAACAGCATTTTTACATTTAAAAAATGAAAGCTGGTTTTCCCCAGAAAGACAGTAGACTTTTTCTTTGTTTAAATCTCATTAAATAATAAATCTGAAAGCATTCAACTAGGTAATTTTAGGCATTAGAGTGTACTCATTTTATTCATAGTAGACTTCAATTATGGCTGCACATTAGACTGTCCTGGAGAATTTAATATAATACCCGTGCCCATGCTCCACTCCAGAGCAATTAAATAAAAATCTCTGGGAGAGGGTGGGTGGGGAAACATTCTAAATGTTGCCCAGGATTTTCTGTTGTCTATCAGAAAGGATTACCCTTTGGGTCAGATTACCAGGCTGAGAACCAGACTAACACTATCTCCCTGTGTGACTATAGGCTGATTACTTCAAAATGATCAAACTCCAGTTTTTTAATTTAATTTTTCATCTGAAGGTATTGGTAATTTATGGAAACTGAGTGTGGTGATTAAGTAAAATACTTAGCATATATTTAGTACTCTCTATATGTTATTGTTATTATTACTATAGACATTATTATAGCTTGAATTCCGTTTTATAATGGCGATGAGGCTCCATCTAGTCTCCACAGAGCTGTCAAAGCGATGCTTCTGGTATGCCCACCTGCTCACGTTGCTACTCTGTGCACATTCCTTTCCTGACTTTGCAGCTTGTGTCAGGATAAAAGCACCATCCACAGGACAGTCTTTATGACCCTCCTGGTCTCAGCTCCTCTGTGGCACCCACTCACTCCCCTGGCTCTCTTAGCACAGGCCTCCTTGCTGCTCTTCAAGCACTTCAGACTCTTCCCTTCGCTGTGTTTCCCTCCTGTTAGAGGCTGCCTCCTCATCCACTTCTGCTCTGCTAGAATGCTGTCAGTAAGGATTCAAAATTTTTTTTTTTCTACCAGCTGCTCTCCAAACCCTAAATTTCCTTCAGTTTCTCAGCAGATAGCATTTACTACCTGAAAGTACTATATTTATTTGTTTATCTATTATGTGTCTCCAACAAGGGAATTTATGGCACAGCACACACTAAGATGTGTGCTGTGCCAACGATAGTCACAAAATCTTTGTTAATGGAGGAGTGAATGGTAAATATTTTCATCGTTACTGTTTTACCTTCATTTACATATATTATAACAAAATACTTAGCATTGTAAAGATAATCTTTTTTATTTGTCAGAATGCTAAAATAAATGCAGTCTAAGCACAGGTCTCTAATAATTAATGATGGTATTAGCTACAACAAATAAAAATTTACACACCTTATTTTGCTTACGTACATCTAGTCTCAAAGGTTCCTTTTCAAGAGCAATTGCCAATACGTTCTTGAAAAACAGCAGTGTTAATATTCTTTGCAACAGGACAGTAAGCAAGATTAATTTTAAAAATACCTCTTTGCATAGTAATTTATACCTTTGTTTCCCTCTATGTGCACTTTTCAAATTATCTTATTGATTCCGTGGAGAAATTTAGGAAAGATAGGATTATACTTGTACAGAAAATGAAAGGACTGGGACATTAAAAGACTTAAGTTATTTTCACTAACAGGGCAGGGACTATAGCCCAGATCAGGTTGGAGACTTTATTGTATTTTAATGCTGGAAAACAAATAAAAGATTTGTGCAGGCGTGTAGTTCATCCTCTTACTCTGATAAGGATATAAACCAAAACCCCCAAATACTAAGAGAATAGGCCAAGGGGATTCCACTGACTTGTGACAAAATATCACTGAGCCTAGGTTTTACCATTTCTTTTTTTCTTTTTTTTATGTATTTTTACATCATTCTTCATTTTTGTACAACGAATACTTTCTCATCTCAGCTATAGTCGCCATGAAATCCCCACCACCCATTCACCTGTGTACCATCACCATAGTCCCTTGTGCTCTTCCCACCCCTGTTTTGATCCTAACCCCCTTCCCACCTGTCATTTCTCTTTTTCTTACTCTGCATAGCTTCCACTTCTTAGTCTATTACCATGAAATAATATCATGTGACAAATAAAAATCTAAAATCCTTGAAGTATAGCTGTTTAGGGCCAAATCTTATCAAATAAATGTAATCACTTCTCTACCCAAGAAAAGTGAGATATCTGACTGATTTTTTATTGCACAACCCTTTGTGGTTTGAATTTTTGAGATATTGGTGGGATAGTAGTAATATGGTATATCTATGTACTGAGAGGGACAGAACCTTTTTTTCATGAACTTGTATTTCAGGTACTTAGTAGTTATTGAATTCATAATCTGCTGGCCATTAATAAACTTAGTCTAATGATATGCTCAATAGAACTGGAAAGATTCAGAGCTTACAGAGTGGTTTCCTTATGTTTTCTATTAACTCCTCAAATTTGTATTTTAAAAGTCATGTTTTATTCTCTGGAATAAATAGCACGAAAAGTCATTGAAATTTTGAAATTTGACAATATGTTTAAAAAAAGGAAATTAGTGAACCATCCGATATTATTTATTTGTGGTTTATTTTCTTACATCTTTTTTGATTGCTGAGTAGTATTCTATTGTGTATATATACCACACCTTCTTGATCCATTCATTTGTTCTGGGGCATTTAGGTCGTTTCCATATCTTGGCTTTTGTAAATAATGCTGCAATAAACATAGGTATGCAGGTTTCCTTTTGAATTAGTGTTCTGTGTCCTTTGGGTAGATTCCTAGGAGTACAATCACTGGATCATATGGATTTTAGTGTTTTGAGGAACCTCCACACAACTTTCCATAGTGGCTGGACCAGTTCACGTTCCCCCGAGCATTGTGTGAGGGCTCCTATAAAAGGAAATTTGAAAGATATACTTGGCTATAGCTATCACCTTGAGCTTTTAGAAAGTACATCATATTTGGAATGACCTGAATTTATAAAGACAGATGATATACATTTAGGCAAAAGAGGTAGTTGCAGATATGAAGTTTGTTTACAATAACAGAAAATTAATTAATTTAAATTTCTGCAATTGCATGATTTAAATTGCCAAAATAAATGGGATTGCTAAAAGCACTAACATTTGTTTTTGGAGTAATGAGAACATGATAATGCTAAGGAGGGCAACAATAAAGATGATGACAGCAACAATGGTGATGACAATGATAGACATTTATTAAATACATAAAATATGTTTCCAAGGACCTGGCATTTCTTTGTACTTTAAATATTCATAGCAGGGATAGGTAGTGTATACTATTATTGACCATATTTTACAAATGAAGATGTTGTGGCTTTGGTTAATAACGTGGCCATATTTACTTAGAATTGTGTTATAAATGCAGACAATGTGGCTCTAAGAATGCCCTTTCTAAGCGGTGGGCTACACTGCGTAGTTAGCAGTAGAACATCCAAATCAGAATAAATGATTTTCTACCTCTGTGCTCTGCATTGCTTGTTTTATTCGTAAAAAAAATTGTCTTTTATCTTCAGTATCCCATTTTAGGAAAGATAATGTTGTGCTGCAATATATCTTGAGGAACATGTGAATGGAAGTGATTTTTTTGTAACTCACCTTCTGTCACTAATGTCTGTATGTACATATATATGTGTGTATATATAAACATATATTTGTGTATGTATATACACACATATATTCACAAAATTATCATTAGTAAAAGACAGGGGACTAACTTGTTACTGAGAAGATGGGTAAATGTTAAGAATCATAATCAACTCAAGGAGGGAGGCACTTTATCACAAAGGATGACTCCATTGATTCTTGAAGCTTATTACCATTGTCTTCTACTAATTAAATAGTAATATGTCCAAAGAAGTGAATAAATTCAATCCCTTGGTGGATTTTCCCCCAAGGGACATAATGCTATCTTCTGTGTTTTGGAGGTAGAGGGAAAGAGAATTGCATTCCAATTTTCTCTTTGTTTATTTGCAGTCGTGTTTGCTCTTTAATATCTCAAAGTTGAAGAAGCCAAAGTCCGTGGTATACACAACAGAACTGAGCCTTCCAGAACACTTTGATATTCCCAAGAAGATCTATGTTCCTGGGATTCCACAAATGAAAACTAAATTGAATCACTCTCGAGGAGTTATACCCATAAATAAAACAGGTAATCAGCAAAGTATGGACTACAATGTCTAGCCCTGTCCCAGGCTTTGTGAAATATTAAAATACAAAGAATATATTTTCTCCACTAATAGGATGTTCAGAATATAATTGAAAGATAGTTCAGCTATATGAATGCCTATTATTGAATGATATTTTACATTAGAAATAATCATGCTGCATTACAGCAATCTAAATTATGTACTGAATTTGGGTGCTAAATACTGGTGCTGAAATTTGCAGACCTGTCTTAGAGAGTGGTTTTCAGATAAAGACAGTAAGTGCACTTTGAGAACAGTGAGCTCTTGCCTTGAGAATAAGTGGGTTCCTGAAGTTCTGCTGGAGTTGTCTTAGGCTTGCTCTAAAGGAAGGAAGTTAAGGCAAAAGCATATTAGAAGAGAACAACACCATTTATGAGTAATTTAACTTTCATCTGGATTAGGGCATTTATTGTTTGTGTGTTTACTTTTGGTTTTCTAGTGCTCTTTTATTCTGTTTTTGATCAGAAAGGGTTGAGCCATTTTAATCAAATATTAATACACTTACATTTTAAAATATAACTAATAAAATATAAACAATGTAAGTAATTTAAAGTATCCAAAATTGTTATGCTTTTATTTCATTTCTTTCCAAGTTAATGGATACTGATAAGAATGTAATTTCTTTATTATAGTTATTCCTTCAATTTACCCTCACTCCAGTGTCATATATTCTAAGTTATGTTGTTGCTAACTTTGGTATTGTTCCAATTTCATTGGCTGTCTTTTTATGAATTTGTGTTATCTATAATGCATTTCTGAATCTTATCCATTGGTTACAAATGATAAATCATGGGTATAATCTCTGTTCACTTTGCCTTCCTAGCAGAACTGAGATCCTAGATTAAAATGCTCCGTACTAAGCAGGTAACAAAGATTTATGATTTAGGTTTGGTCTAGGCAATAGGGAAGATTAAACCTATGACAAACTGGAGAATAGATGCTCTGTCTAATCATTCAAATTAAAAAAAAATTAATGACTTACGCAAGCCAAATAGCTGTGAGAGTATTTTTCACTCATCAGCTATTGGCATCCCCTCATGTTAACTTGTCTTTTATTTTAATCTTTATTACCTTTCAGGTTTTCAATGTACTATTAAATTCATGAATGCATAACTTATTTTAATAATTTTTAATCCCTCTTTGGGTAACTGGTAAAACTGTGTATATTATAAACCCAGTTAGGATTGGTAGTCTGAGTGATTCATCATTCAGCCATTCATTCATCAACACTATTGAGCAGCGTTTCCTTTGGACAAAGTTATGAAAATTGACATATTCATCCCTTATAGTAATTTGCTTTATTAATTGCTGTGGATAGGACTTCCAATACTATCTTAAATAATACTGATAAGAGAGGACATCCTTGTCTTCTGCATCATCTTAGAGGAAAAGCTTTCAGTTTTTCACCACTGACTACTATATTAGATATTGTTTTGTTAGATATGGCCTTTGTCATGTTGAGGTATGTTCATTTTATCTCTGTTTTGTTGAAAAATTTTACCATTTTATTAGATCATTTTATTTTATCATTTATTGGATCTTGTCACATGCTTTATATCTATTAATAGGGTCATATGATGTTTATCTTTCCTTCTGTTGACATTGTGAATTGCATTGATTGATTTGCATATGTTGAACGATTCTTACATGCCTGGGATAAATCCCAGTTGGTTGTGGTGTATGATCTGTTTAATGTATTGTTAAATTCAGTTTGCTAAGATTTTGCTGAGGACTTTTGCATCTATATTCATCAGGGATATTGGATTGTGTTTTTCTTTTTATTATGATGTCCTATCTATATATGTTTGATACAGGATAATGTTGGCTTCATAAAATGTGTTTGAAAGCATTCCCTCTTCAGTTTTCTGAAGAGTTTAAGGACAGGTATTAGATCATCTTTAAAGGTGTGGTATGAGGGCCTCACTGGTGACGTAGGAGTTAAGTCTCAACGCTATCACCACAAAGTCCTGAGTTCAATCGCCGGCCAGGGAGCTAACCCATATATGGCACAGCAGACCTCTCACCTGCTGCTCCCCTAAACAGTGTATTTCAGTAGCTCTGTCTGTTCAGCTCCCCACTCTGTCTCTGGTGAATCCTCTCACCGTCCCCCGCCCCCGCCCCCTCTGGCCTATACTCCAATTCTTCTATGCAAAAATAAATAAATAAAAATCTTTATTAAAAAAAGGTTTGGTAGAAATTACTAGTAGAACTAGTAATTACATTTTTTGGGAATCTTTTAATTACATTTTCAAGTTCCTTGGGTTTTGAGGGGAGGAGTATGAGCTCTCCTTTTTTAGGTATTTACAGCTATAAATGTCATTTAAGTACTGCTTTAGCTGAATCCCATCAGTTTATATATGTTTTCATCTTTATTTTTACTAATCTTAAAGTATTTTCTAGTTTCCCCAGGTTTTGCTTGACTCATTATTTTTTTCATTTATTTTAAAGATTTATTTATTTATGCATACAAGAGCTGGGGTGTAGGCCAGAGATACAGAGGGGTTGGGGGGGGGTGAGAGGATTCACCAGGTACGGCGTGGGGAACAGAATAGGCAGATTGACTGAAATACACTACTGAGGGGAGCAGTGGGGGAGACAGGAGAGGTCTGCTATACCATGTAGGTTAGCTCCCTGGCCAAGGATCGAACTCCTAATTACCCTCATATATAACTTACACTGATGAGTGCTTGTCAGTTTAGCTTTCTGGCTATCAGAGTGTTTATCCCCCTGGCTACAGAAATTGCTTCGATGCTTTAGTTGACCATAGTTGATTCAGCAGGAATCCAGACTTGGAACTTTTGCTGGAATTTTGGAAAAGGGATGGCTTTTCTTCCTGCAAGATTTGTTAAACTGGTAGGATATACCCATGAGTGAGTGAAGAGAGTCTCCAAGAATGAGGTCAGCACAGAGGAAAGCAAAATTAAAAGATGGAGAAAGAACAATGACATCTCACAGTTTCAGGTGAGTCTGTGGAGGCTGTCATTGTAACGGTGGCCGTTCCCTCTGCAGATGCCAGTTATAGAGTCAAAAAATGAATCTTGGATATTCTTTTATTGAAACTATTTAAGCATAGAATAGAAGATCATCATTTATCATGGATGTGTGGAAAAAATTCCTTACTCTCTTCCTGAGAAAGAGGTTGAGCTCAAAGGCCTGGACCACCCTTCCCACTGAAAATTATTGTAGTTGATTTGCAAGTCAAACCCACAAGAAATTAAACTGTGTTCAGAAAGGGAAAAATAAAAATGTCTTCTGTGGTTCCTGTTAGTTTTAATTGGGTTTCTTACAAATGAAAGTGATCTTTCCACATTGCCAGTCACCAACCCTGGCTGTTTGCCAGTGGCACCTGGGTATCTTTTGCAACGTACATATTTCAGGCCCTACTTTAGACCTACTAAATCTTTCTCAGGTTTGAGAAGGTGTGGAAACCTGTATTATACAGGTTCCCCTCCAGATCAATGCCATAGTTAATCCGCTCATTACATTCAGTGCTGCACAGGGCAATGCATCACTTCACATCTCCTTTTTACTAATGGAGAACGTGAGATCCAGAAAATTTAAGTCTCTTTAGGAGGTTGTGTAAGAGGTCACGTCAAATATCCTTAGTAAACACTGAAGTCTACTGAGTTGTTGTCTATCACTGTTTTCATCTTGCTGGAGTGCATAAAATAGTTATGCTGCTATTTATCCTTAGCTTAGTAATCTTCTTAGTTTGAGTCCTCTAGAATAAGTAACCTGAGCAAGAATTAAATATTAATACTTTACTGGGGAGATGCAAACACAGGGCACTGAAAGTGAGAACAAAGAGGAAAGAGGGAGGGAAGGAAGGGAGGCAGAGCAGTGAGGGATGCATGGCTGCTCCCTGTGTGTCCAGTACTTGCCCCCATGAATAAATGCAACAGGTGTCAGTTCTGAAAAGCTATATGAAAATAAAGTGCCCCTGAGAATCAGTGTGAGAGAAGGAGGGCATTATATCTGCATGCTTACCTCCTGTCTCCTGCCTCCTGATTGCCAGATTTTACTCAAAAGGGAGTTAATGTTCCTAGGCTACAAGGTGCCATTCGTTGGCCCTTGGGATGCCAAGTTCCATGCCCCCTTGGCAAGAGGAGCCAGAAACACTGAGCAAGGACTGATCTATCTGTATAGAGAAGCAGCCAAGGAGGTGAAGC